TCCCACCTCTCTCCTCATTTTTTTTCTGGAAATGCAAACCTGGGTTGAATTTTTCCAGAGTGGGTGGGGGTAGATCTTTTTCTCCGCACCCCTTTTCATCTCATCTCTGCCCACTTGTTCTGGCTGAAGTTTTAACTCTGTTTCTGGACCAATTGAAAAAAAAAAAAAACAGAAACCAAATTGACCGTAGGCAAGGACTGCCTTTTAACCCCCTTTCCTTGCCAGCTGGTGAATGTATTGAAAATGCTTCTTTCCCCCCCAACCCCATATGCAACCACTTGCTCTTTGCAAGAACTTGTATATGCAGCCAGATCACAAACCTGACCCAGCTCCCTGGCCCTCCAAAGAGGCTCTTGCTTCTCCTGCTGAATCCCTTTTTTTTGTGTGTGGGGGGGGTATAATTCTGTTTCTGAGGGAGGGGGTGGTCAGGTGTCAGTGAATCACTGTCACTTCTATTTATGGGTATTTTTATTTTGGGTGGGGAGGGTAGACAAGACAGATCATGTGAAGATAAAAGAGTGGGCTGTTGCGGCTGGGTGAGAAACCAGACCTAGGCTTGTGGGCAAGTGGAAATGAATGTTTTTGTCCTGCACAGGGACCAAGGAAGAGAGAAGGGGGGGAGGAACCATGGGGGCATGAGCTGCTACAAAACAGCCCCCTCCCTTGCTGGAAAGAGTGAAGCAGGGGTCCATCTGCCCAGGAGTGGCGAACAGGCTGGAATGTTTTCCTTTTAGCTGCTGTGCCTCTTTTCTCCCATTCCTGCTTCCAGCTTTGCTCCTGCCCCTTTGTTTTGTGATTCTATTATCCGTAGGTGTATATGTGGATTAACATTCCTGATTCTGGCTGGTTTTCCCTTATGTGTTTGCAGGCAAAAGGCACAGAGCAGGGCTTTTAGTAAAATTTCCTTCTTAACACACACACACACACACACACACACGCGCGCACAAAAATCTTTTCTATCCCTCCCTGATTGCAATGACATCTGCAGGTAAAGCTTTTACTGATTTGAGTGTTTTGATAAAAGATGGAGAATAAAAAAAAATGCCACAAAGACTCGTCGTCATTTTAATTGACCTTGGTACTAGTTTTATGCCAAAAACAGTATGTAACAGGTCGAACACTTGATTTTCCATGCTTTCATAGTATAAAAGAGCCAGGAAATTCGGAGGCAAAAAGGAGGAGGGTAACGGGTAAGGTGAGGAATTACTTTAATAAAATATTAGGTATTTGGTATAGTTTTCCATTTCATTATTATTATTTTTTTAATGTGCTCCTTTTTTGGTGGGAGGGCAAGAAACAGTGGCTGGTTGGATCAATTTTTAGAGCAGAGGTTTGGAACCATATTTTAAAACCTCTTTTTTTTTTTTCTTAGAGAAAGCTGCTTAAAAGTGTGTTTCAGAAATAAAACTACAGTGATAATAATGAACTAGTAAGCACCCATCCAGAATTTACTAGAGCCAGGAAGCTCATGAGTCAAAAACCTGATACAGCTAAGAATGAAGAACAAGGTTGTCTAAACGTATTCAGCCAAAGATTTATCAATAGTAAAACTAAGCTCATAGATCTTTTTCCTAAAAATACTGTGTTTACAAATACTATGCTAAGCCATCAAGTGGTGTCTTGGTTTGGGTTTAGTTTGGGTAGAGTCAAGAAACTCTGATGCTTCCCTGATGTTTTTCCTAGCTGTTTTTCAACAACCTACTTTACTGGGAGAATAACTTTTCTTGTTATTGCAAATGTGAGGCCGTTCCTTGCTAATAAGTTTCTTATCTAACTTGCCTTAGGCCACAAATTGGCTCACCTGATGGTTGTGTGGACCTAAAACTTTCAGAATCTCCAGATCCTTATCCTAGAGAAAGGACTTCTGAACATTTCAGACAAACCCCAAACATGTCATAGTCTTCCTTTGTTCATTTACGGTGGAAGGAAGCAGCCAGCATCTGTACAGGCAAAGCTGCATGACTTAAACTTTCCATTATCCTTTTCTTGCCACCTTTATGGTGTTTGCATCACTTTTGACAATGGGGATAATAGAGAATAGAACTTATTTTGTCAGGGTTTTTTTTTCCTTTTTTGGCAAAGCACCTGCTCAAGGGCACTTGGCCAAAAATACCAGAGTTGGGTGCGAAAGGAAGGAACTAGGGCAGTGCCGTATCTTAAAAAAGGCTTACAATGTTCTTCCCTTGAGAAATTATTATTATTGTTGGTTGCATGGTCAGCCAGATGTTTAGACTGGATTTGGCCTTTTTATCCACCAATCGAGCCCTTCCCAAGGACCTGGGATGGGCAGATGTTGTTTGATGGTGTCAAAGATATTGTCGCAGGGTGTATGCTGTTCCAAGTAAAGCTGCCTTTTGCATTTGACCGATGGTGGTGGTGATTATTATTATTATTGAGTATGGTAATTGAATTATCCTTTTTAAAGATTTTGATTCCTTCCTTATTTTTTTTTTAATTCATTTTCATTCCTTCCTTAAGAGAGAGTTATTTTAAGGAAGCTAAGCCCTTTAAAAAGCATGGAATAAAACCCGCAGCACTGCAAAAAGGCATTGGCTGGCATTATAATGAGACGCTCTTGAATGGGTTTGGGGGGGGGGGCTGTTCAGAGGAACCAGATGAGACCGGAAGTTGTAGCTCCGACCCTGGATGGCGACGGACGCCGAAGGAGTAGGAAAGTCGTCGGACCGGAAGTGGTGTGATGGCCGAGCGGCAGGGCGAGGGAGAGAGTGGGGCCCCCAAATACGTTGGAAGGGCTTTGACGAGCTGAGAACCAAGCCCGGTACTTCTTCCTTCGCCCCCGTCGGCGGCGACAGGCAATCGGTGAGCTTAGGCCTTTGCTCCGTTGTCACGGCAACGGTGTTACACCGTCTCTCCGCCGTCCTTTCCGCGTGGAACCTCGGGGTGCGACGAGACTGCGGCTGCGCAAGTGGAGGAACGCGAGCGTGGATGCCTTCCCCAACCTGGCGCCCTCCTTAATACGCTGACCTACCATTCCCCCGTCCTCCATCAGGCGGTTGAGGATGATGGGTTCTGTGCCAGCGCATTTAGAAGCGGACAGGCTGGGGACAGCCGCTTTGCATCTCCATAAGAGGCTGAAAAGGGACTGATGGATGTTGTGGTACAGCACATCTGGCTGTCTTGTAAAGCAAGAAGAGGTGGGTGGGAGGATGATGGGCATTGTAGTCTGTCCTTAGGAGGTACAGGGTTGGACAAGAGCTATGACAGAGTACAGTATGAGGAGAGGGTTGGGAGTGACAGGAGCTGCTGGGTTGGGGAAAACGGCATTGCACGGCTTTGAAAGTATGGCTGGGGATGATGGAAGTTATAGTAGCATGGCGCACCTGAATGCAGCACATGGTGGCAGGCTGGATGGAAGAGCTGGGGGGAGAAAAAACTGAAAAAAAGGGTGCTTCAATTTCTTAGAAGGGGGAACAAACGGTAAGGTGCTTTCTGAGCAGGAAATTGCAAAAATCCATCTTAGGAAACCATCTTAGGAGCCCGAATAGCATGCCAACTTCTTCGTTCTCCGGAAATCTTCATCCAGTTTATGCAACCAAATGAAGAGAGTATCTTTTATAAGTCAGCTCTCTTATCCCTTCACAATCCATCTGACTTCTGGAGCCCTTGGTCTGAATATTTTAGCGCCTTATTAGATCCGTCTGTTTCTGGAGAACTCAAAAGCCTGCATTTGGTTTATGACCTTGGGGTTGGTCCAGGAAAGATATTACATGAGACCCCCATGACGTTGTAGGCTGCACAAAGTCATCTCTCTTTGCAGTCCACAACCCCCTTGTCTGTATCCAGACCTGGTTCTAACAAACTCTCTTTGCCTGTCTCTCCTTAGGCTGTGTCATGAAGGTGAAGCTGAAAAATGTTTTTGTCATCTACTTTCTGGTGTCTGTGATTGGCCTCATGTATGCATTGCTGCAACTGGGTAAGTGGCATGGCGGGGTGAAGAGTCTGTTTCTCCTTTCCAAGGGAATAGGAAAAGTCTGGGTCTGCACAAGCTTTTTCAACTCTACAAGGCGATTTGTTGGATTCTGGCTTTGGCTATGTAAAGGTAGGTGGGAATGACCTTGGGAGACAGGAGGGAGAGCTGCAGAAGGGACAAGCACAGACATGACAAATGTAAAAAGTATCTCAGCCCAGAGAAGGAAAAGGGACGTGGGAAGCATCTCAGAAGGGATCCTCCCTAGTTTTCTGGAAAGTAAAAGGAAAGGAGGGGGAAAATACTTTCAGTCTTGCAAGATTTGTTTAATCTAACCTTACAATAAAGGTAGAGCTGCTGCTTCTGGGTGTGTTCCTTGTCTGGACTACCTCAAAGGGCTGACAGGATGCTGCATGAATATGGTGCCCATTGCCTTTTATTAAGAAGAACTGGGTTTAAACAAAGCAGCCATGCCATAAGGCAATGTATGAATCCAGTCAGCGTGCCAGTCTGATTTAAAAAAATCAAAACTGCCTAGCTGGGTATAAAAATTAAATTTAAACAATTAAATCAACCATAGAATCCTATTTTCCAAGAGAGATGCCAAACCTTTGAACATATCCAGCAACGGGCAACCCGTTACTTTCCAAAATATTAATTTCACCGTTCAACTGTTTGTAATGTTTTTAACGATAGGATGTTTTTCCGATCGTTCCACCAGAGTGCTCCCTCTTCTTGTGTATCCTATGCCTGCACTGTGGGATGATAAAGAATATATTTTGATATTTGGATAAGGACCTCCCTATACCTCCAGCCCACATAGGCAGGGTTGATCAGAGGTATAGCCCTGGAAAATGTGAAGGAACTTGATCTGGGTAACTCAATTCAGATGAACGAATGGTTTCACAGCACAGGAATCCTTTCTCTGGTTGCAGGACAGCCCTGTGATTGTAGTCAATACCTGAAGGCAGCTAGTGACCTCATCCATGTCAAGGAGAAGCGACTGTCCCAGTTGCAAAAAGAAGTGAAGCGGCTACAGGGTCTGGAAAAGCTGCCGGGGCCAGTAGAAGAAATACCTGTCATTTATGTGATCACACCCACCTATGCTAGGTAGGTGGCCAAATTCCTGGAAGTTGGTGCTGACACTGATTCCATAAGCCAGTGCTTCTTAAACTGTTTGACCCAATTACCCCTTTTCCTGGTCTCAAATAATATTATTCACCCCCCTCCAAAAAAAAAAGTCTCCATTGTTTTACGCAAGCATTTTTTTTTCCAAATAACTTTTGTTGTTGTTGTTT